CACTATGATAACATCTATCACTATGATAACATGACCATGCTGACGTCACCATCACAGAGGATGGTGTACAGGCTGTACAGCTGCTGGAGTCAGCGTGTCAGCAGATCTATCACTATGATAACAGCTATCACTATGATAACATCTATCACTATAACATGACCATGCTGACGTCACCATTACAGGGGATGGTGTACAGGCTGTACAGCTGCTGGAGTCAGCGTGTCAGCAGATCTATCACTATGATAACAGCTATCACTATGATAACATGACCATGCTGACGTCACCATTACAGAGGATGGTGTACAGGCTGTACAGCTGCTGGAGTCAGCGTGTCAGCAGATCTATCACTATGATAACATCTATCACTATGATAACACTATGATAACATGACCATGCTGACGTCACCATTACAGGGGATGGTGTACAGGCTGTACAGCTGCTGGAGTCAGCGTGTCAGCAGATCGCTGATGTCAGCGAGCGCTTCTACAGAGACGTGCGATGCTTCCTCCAGTCAGGTGCCTTGTTAAATATATAAGTTAAATTAAAATTGATTTCAATTATATTAAAATTAATTTAAATTATATGTAAATTAATTTGAATTAAATCAAAAGTAATATAAATTAAAAACTTGAAGAACAGATCTCAAAAAGCTCTACAGTAAAAATTTCTCATGACGATAAAGATTTTATTGCCGTTTTTATTATAATCAAGATAATAGATATAGTCGTTAGGCTACGGACTCTATTGTAGTTGAATTTTTTAGTAGATTATTTCATTTATTCAATATATACTGTGGAATGTGTATTGTATAATATTTTACTATAATTTTAATATAATTCTGCACGAATAAAAGGACGTTCTATTGTATTTGAATATGTTAGTACACTATATCATTTATTCAATATATATACCATGGAATGTATAATATTTTACTATAATATAAATATTTCATTTATTCAATATATACTGTGAAATGTTTATTCTAAAACATTATACTATAATATCAATATAACGCTATAATGCAACAGAGGACGTGGCGGCGAGACGACGCAACATAGAGCGCAACATATAATATAACATTATACTATAATATCAATATAATGCTATAATACAACAGAGGACGTGGCGGCGAGACGACGCAACATATAATATAACATTATACTATAATATCAATATAATGCTATAATACAACAGAGGACGTGGCGGCGAGACGACGCAACATAGAACGCAACATATAATATAACATTATACTATAATATCAATATAATGCTATAATACAACAGAGGACGTGGCGGCGAGACGACGCAACATTGAACGCAACATATAATATAACATTATACTATAATATCAATATAATGCTATAATACAACAGAGGACGTGGCGGCGAGACGACGCAACATAGAGCGCAACATATAATATAACATTATACTATAATATCAATATAAATACTAATTTTAAATTGATTTGAATTAAATTTAATTTAATTTAGATTAAATTAATATTTTACTTAATTGAATTAAAATTAATTTAAATCAAATTCATTTTAATGTAACTTGAATTAAGATGAATTTAAATTGAATTAAAGCTTTAACAATTCTCAAAAAGCTGTACAGTAAAAATCTCACATCACAATAAAGATTTTATTGACGTCTTTATTATAGTCAAGATTATGGATAGTGTTGTTAGGCAACGGACTCTATTGTTGTTATATACACTGTGAAATGTCTATTGTATAATATTATACTATAATATCAATATAATGCTATTTAAATAAGAGGACGTTTCATTATAGTTGAATTTATTAGTAGATTATTTCATTTATTCAGTAATTTACGCTGTGAAATGTTTATTATATAATATTATACTATAATATCATTATTTCATGTATTTAATAATTTATACCGTGGAAAGTTTATTGTATAACATTTCACTATAATATCATTATTTCGTGTATCAAATAATATACACTATAGAATGTTTATTATATAATATTTTACTATAATATCATCATTTCATTTATTCAATAATATACATTGTGCGATGTTCATTGTATAATATTTACTATACATTATTTATTGTATCCAATTATATACACTGTGAAATGTTTATTGTATAATATTTTACTATAATATCATTATTTCGTGTATTCAATAATATATACCTACCATGGAATGTTTATTGTACAACATTTGACTATAATACCAGTATACTGGACGTTTTATAGTATTTGAATATGTTATACTACATTATTTCATTTATTCAATAATATATACTCATTACACTGTGAAATGTTTATTATATAACATTATACTATAATATCATTATTTTATGTATGCAGCAATATATACCATGGAATATTTATTATATAACATTATACTATAATATCAATATTTTATGTATGCAGCAATATATACCGTGGAATATTTATTATATAATATGTACCTCAGGAGGTGGGGAGGAGAGGGACGCCCTCAGGAGGTGGGGAGGAGAGGGATGCCCTCAGGAGGTGGGGAGGAGAGGGATGCCCTCAGGAGGTATGGAGACCCTCACTGCATGGGGAAATTAACCTATGTATTGCGGAGGCAACTAAAATTTGTAGTTAATCGCTGCTGGTTAGCAGCAGTTTACCTGTCGAGGTGAAGTGCTTCACTTGTTAACCTGTTACCATGTTAACTGTTAACCTGTTAACTGTTAACCTGTTAAGGGGAGCGTCTGGCCAAAAATTTTGATTTTGGCTTTTCCGGTTTTAGTCTCATCTTAAAGCTTACATTCTGACGCATCCAACGGTACCAAAACCATCTCTGTACGTTGGTTTATGCGTTCACGACAGATCACGAAAGGGTTTGGCGTGGTGGAGTTCTTCAACATTTAACATAGGGAATAATGCCGACGGTGCATCTTATATAGAAAGTCTGGAGACATTAGGCTTCAGTAACCCTGCTGTAGTCATGGGGGATGGTTCTCGTGCCGTCGTTCGCACCATCCTTGACAGAAATAAAGCTCCTGTATTGTCTATTCTTGCAACCTTGCTGCCTTGAATGTCTATTTCGAGGCGCGCGGGACTTTGTCGGGCCCTACTGAAAAGTTAACTTATTGTTACTGCAAACCTATCTCCTCGTACAGTTTGAAGCTATAGCAATGAGAGATATACCGTTCGATTTGAAAATAAAATATCTAGAGAATGGTCAGAGATTATTTTCAATTTCGCTATAGTTTTGAAAATATTTTGAAAAAAGAGGGGGGGAAATAGGGATAAATCGAAAAATGTTCGAAATTTTTGGGAAAAAATGCTCCCACATCTACAAAAATTGGAAATTCGAAAAAAGCTACGTTGCATTGATAGATAATTTAACTGCGAATCGAATGGTACATGTCTCATCGCTGTAACTTCAAAACTCTAGGAGGAGATAGATTTCTACAGTACCCTATTTTTTGGCCGTTTTCTAAGAATTTCACGTTTTCTTTCATTTTTTTCGAAAAATTGACACGAATAAAAGCTGTCTATTTTTTTTTGTTTTACATATGTGTACTAAGTTTCAAAGTGATCCGTCTGTAAATAGCCGAGATAAAATTTTGGCCAGACGCTCCCCTTAATCTATAATAGATTAACAGAATAACTNTCACTATAACACTAAGATAATGTCACTATAACACTAAGATAATGACACTATAACACTAAGATAATGTCACTATAACACTAAGATAATGACACTATAACACTAAGATAATGTCACTATAACACTAAGATAATGACACTATAACACTAAGATAATGTCACTATAACACTGAGATAATGTCACTATAACACTAAGATAATGTCCTGTCTCTTATACACATCTAGATGTGTATAAGAGACAGTCAACACGCTTCAGGTCTGACATAAGCTACGTGTTTTAACACATCAACATGCCTCAGGTCTGACATAAGCTACGTGTTTTAATACATCAACACGCTTCAGGTCTGACATAAGCTACGTGTTTTAATACATCAACACGCCTCAGGTCTGACATAGACCACGTGTTTTATTAATTAATTATTAATTAATTATCACCACCACGCCCCAGATCTGACATAGACCACGTGTTTTATTAATAATTATTAATTAATAATTAATAATTAATAATTATAAATTAATAATTAAAAATTAATAATTAATAATTAATAATTATTAATTATTAACTAATATTAATTAATAATAATTAATTATCATACCCACGCCCCAGATCTGACATAGGCTGCGTGTTCTGATGCATTAACACGCCTCGATCAGGTCTGACATAGAACACTTGTTTTATTAATTAATAATCATTAAATAATTATGATGACCACGCTTCATGTCCGACATAGGCTACGTGTTTTATTAATTATTAATTAATTATCACGACCACGCCCCAGATCTGACATCATCCACAAGAAGAACGCTGAGCTGGACCAGCGCAGCCTGCTGGAGCAGGAGCAGGAGCTGAGCAGGTACCTGCAGGTGGCCTTCCTGCACTACCTACGCTGTCTGGCCCTCAGCACTCCCTCTGACCTGCCTGCCTACAAGATGCTTGCCCTCTGGCTCCAGAACTGCCATCAGGAGGCCCTCAGCAATATGGTCAGTACTTGTACTTTGTTGTGACTAGTTCCTTATGGTCACTACCTACTAGCTCCTTATGGTCATAAGTTATTTATATAAGTTACTATTACAATTATATTAGTTATTACATAAGTTATTATTATAAAAGTGGTGTAATTTTTTATGGTCTCTGCTAGTTCCTTATGGCCACAACCAATCTTGATAAAATTTCAATCGCAGTTTAGTCGCTGGTGTCTTATTACACTTGAAATCTGTTCATCAATTGTCCAGGTTGATAAAACGTAGATTTTATTCCGTGAAATAACAGTTTAATGGCATCACATTTAAAATACACAGCCAGCGTAACAGACATTTATGATCAATATAATGCCTAATAAAATTCTTAGAGCTGTAGTACTTATCGTGGCACAGCCGTAAGAACTAGCGTAGACCTACAAGAGCACTAGTGAGCTTAGGTAGAACTTCAGTTTTAAGGCTGGTAGGACACGACTGACTCCCTGACTCACAGCCACTGAGACCTCGCACTACACGACTGTTGCTGCCTGAAGGTAAAATGTAAACGCTGCATACCAATCAAAAATGCACATGGAATGAATAAATAAATGGTGAGTAAAAATACTGAATGATCTCTATCGTTCATAAAACCAAGCGGCTACACTAGACGCGACTGAATAATTACACTTTCGGTCCACAACAATAAAAAAATGCACCTGGAATGAATAAATGAATGGTGAGTAAAAATAATGAATGATCTCTATTGTTAGCGCATTTTCTCATTTATGAATAAAAAGGCGCTATTGTGCTCGCCATGTCCGTCTGTCCGTCCGTCCGTGACTTCACGTTTTCGTCGACGAGGAAATGCGCTCTCTGTCACTCACTGCTGTGAGTACTGAGTTATATTTTTTATATTGTCTATTGTTGACATGATGTACAGGTAGCGCAGGAGTGGCCACGCATCAAGTGTCACCAGATGGTGCCGCTACTGCAGCAGATGGTCGCTAGGATGTCAACCTCAAACTCTGCCTTCACACGCGCCCTCGACACCATACTAGGTGAGCCATGGCATCTTAGGTTAGCCATGGCATCTTAGGTGAGCCATGGCATCTTAGGTTAGCCAGGGCATCTTAGGTGAGCCATGGCATCTTAGGTTAGCCATGGCATCTTAGGTTAGCCATGGCATCTTAGGTTAGCCAGGGCATCTTAGGTGAGTCATGGCATCAATGTACTACTGCAGCAGATGGTCGCTAGGATGTCAACCTCAAACTCTGCCTTCACACGCGCCCTCGACACCATCTTAGGTGAGCCAGGGCATCTTAGGTGAGCCAGGGCATCTTAGGTGAGCCAGGGCATCTTAGGTGAGCCAGGGCATCTTAGGTGAGCCATGGCATCTTAGGTTAGCCATGGCATCTTAGGTGAGCCATGGCATCTTAGGTGAGCCAGGGCATCTTAGGTGAGCCATGGCATCTTAGGTAAGCCAGGGCATCTTAGGTGAGCCAGGGCATCTTAGGTAAGCCAGGGCATCTTAGGTGAGCCATGGCATCAATGTGATGAAGTACAGTAGCTGTTACTTCTCATTTACTAAGCGCCACCTGAAGATAAGGTTACGTGACTGAAGGATAAGTATGACGCATCTGTCTAGATAACATATCTTGTTATACAGGGTGGTTATACATGAGTTACGATACAGAGGGGCCATACTTTCAAAAAAAGGCAAGAGATGGTAAATTCATCAGCCAATGATTGACGGCCTTTCAAGCAAAATTCACCAATCATAGATAAGAAAATAGAGCGTAAGTACTTACGTTCACCTAGCGAGTTTTGAAAGTATGGCCCCAGAGGTATGAGCTACGGCGTCGACCGTAAAGTCGAAGAACTCTACCGACGCGTTACATCGCGGAGCGCTTATCAACTACTGCGGGGGCCTTAATGTTGCTAGCCCTTATATAGCCTTCGCTTCCGCCCACTACTGAGGTCTTGATCGCGTGATCTATCACGTGATGTCGTCTAGATGCCGAAGAAAGTCCAGTACTTTTCCATCAATCTCTATCACGCCAAATGAATATCACGTCCCAATTACATATGATCTAATCATGTAATTATAATGAATAAAATGAGACGCCAGATTGACGCCGGTGATAACCAATGTTATGAAGTGGTCAGTGAGATTTCCTCGTCGTTATTTAAGTCGTTATTTATTTATTTATTTTTTTCATTGTTATTTAATTATTTCCTCATCGTTATTTTATTATTTTTTTGTTATTTAATTATTTCCCAATCGTTATTTAATTATTTTCTCATCATTGTTTAATTATTTCTTCATCGTTATTTATTTTCTCATTGTTATTTAATTATTTCCTCATGGTTATTCAATTATTTTCCCATCATTATTTATTTTTTTATCCTTATTTAAGTATTTTCTTATCATTTTTTACTTATTTCATCAAAGATATTTATTTTCTCATCCTTACTTAATTATTTCCTCATCGTCATGTAATTATTATCTTATCCTTATTCAATTATTTCATCTTCATCAAAAGAGATATCTTCTTAATTTGATCATTTATTTATCCACCTGCATCTTAATGCAGAAAAACTCCTGGCTTTTGAGGTGTGGATTATTTACTTAAGCCTTATTGCTTGTAGAGTTCTCTGGAATAGCGATAGTAGAATTCTTTATTATTTTAAACATATTAGGTAAGTAAATTTGTTGCTTTTCTCACGGATCCTGTCATGTCCTATCCTCCTGTCAAGTCCTATCCTCCTGTCATGTCCTATCCTCCTGTCATGTCCTATCCTCCTGTCATGTCCTACCCTCCTGTCATGTCCTATCCTCCTGTCATGTCCTACCCTCCTGTCNAAGTCCTACCCTCCTGTCATGTCCCAGCACATCCTGTCAAGTCCTAACCTCCTGTCATGTCCCAGCACATCCTGTCATGTCCCAGCACATCCTGTCATGTCCCAGCACATCCTGTCAAGTCTTACCCTCCTGTCAAGTCTTACCCTTCTGTCAAGTCCCAGCACATCCTGTCAAGTCCTAACCTCCTGTCATGTCCCAGCACATCCTGTCAAGACCTAACATCCTGTCAAGTCCTACCCTCCTGCCATGTCTCAGCACATCATGTCAAGTCCTAACCTCCTGTCAAGTCCTACCCTCCTGTCATGTCCCAGCACATCCTGTCAAGTCCTAACCTCCTGTCATGTCCCAGCACATTCTGTCAAGTCCTTCCCTCCTGTCAAGTCCTAAAGAAGCGGAACCGATGATTTCACTCTTCAGAGCCCTTGTAATACATATTCGAATACTGCTGTAAATACTGGACTCCGTTCACACTAGGCGCAATACGGCAACTGGAAGGTGTCCAGCGAACCTTCACTCCCAGGATCAGAGAGATGGAAGAGTTGAACTACTGGGAGAGGTTAAGGCGCCTGGGTCTGTACTCACTGCAGAGGAGACGGGAGAGGTATGCCATTCTGTACACATGGAAAATGGTAACCGGAATGGTGCCTAACTTCGAGAGCGAGACCTTCAGGATTGAGACATATCACAACCAGAGAAGGGGGAGACTGTGCAGGATCCCCCCACTGCGTAACAGATCCGCAGTCAGATTTCAATCCCTGCTGGAACGATCACTCTCCGTGGCAGGGCCGAGGTTGTTTAACGTCCTACCAAAGGATCGAAGAGAGGGGGAGTTCACCCTGGAGACCTTCAAGAGACAACTGAACGTGTTCCTGGGCACAATCCCAGATCGACCTCCCCTGCAACACTACCAGCGGCGAGAAGCAAGCAACAGCATCGTGCATCAGGTGGCCCAAATGAGGGCGGATGAACGATAATCAGAGGCGGCGATCCAACGTGGACTGAGACTGCAACGTTCGAAATAAATACTAAGGATGCCCATGTCACCACACTGTCATGTCTCCATGTCACCACACTGTCATGTCATCACACTGTAATGTTACCATGTCATCACACTGTCATGTCTCCATGTCACCACACTGTCATGTCATCACACTGTCATGTACCCATGTCACCACAGTCATGTTACCACACTGTAATGTACCCATGTCACCACACTGCCATGTTACCATGTCACCACTCTGTCATGTCACCATGTCACCACACTGTATGTCTCCCATGTCACCACACTCATGTCATCACACTGTCATGTCTCCATGTCACCACACTGTCATGTCACCACACTGTATGTCTCCCATGTCACCACACTCATGTTACCACACTGTCATGTCACCATGTCACCACACTGTCATGTCACCACACTGTCATGTCACCCCACTCATGTCACGACACTGTCATGTTACCACTCTGTAATGTACCCATGTCACCACACTGCCATGTTACCATGTCACCACACTGTCATGTCACCCCACTCATGTCACCACACTGTCATGTTACCACTCTGTAATGTACCCATGTCACCACACTGCCATGTTACCATGTCACCACTCTGTAATGTCACCATGTCACCACACTGTATGTCTCCCATGTCACCACACTGTCATGTCTCCCATGTCACCACACTGTATGTCTCCCATGTCACCACACTGTCATGTCATCACACTGTCATGTCACCATGTCACCACACTGTCATGTCACCACACTGTATGTCTCCCATGTCACCACACTGTCATGTCACCACACTGTCATGTCACCACACTGTCATGTCATCACACTGTCATGTCACCACACTGTCATGTCACCACACTGTCATGTCAAGTTCTTATAGGGGCAGCACGGGGGGGGAGGGGGGAGTGGCTGTATTGTACAGCCCCAAGCAAAATAAGATGAATGAGCTGCACAAGAATGAATGCATATATGATGACTGTATGGGTGCTGTCCTAATGTTAAATGTGAACCTATGTAAATGCGTTTAGTAATTAGTATAATAACTTAGTACGTACCTATACGAATACCTTTAGTAATTTTTAAAAGATGGCAGAATTTTCTTGTTTATACAATTGATGACCAGAGAATGCAATATAATTTTCAAGGAGTCTAACAATATTTTTAGATAACGTTGGTAGATCAAAAGGCAGATTTAGCAAATAATGATATTTATAATATTATTTGCTGAATCTTACTTTTGATTTAACAACGTCATCTAAAAATATTGTTGACTCATTGAAAATTATAATCATTCGCTGGTCATTAATTGTACGCATCTAAACAAGTTTCGTGTTAACTCATGTACACACAAGTAGAATGATAAAGTGTAAGTAATGAAGATGTAGGGTAAATGATGTGTGGGACATGAGATGTGTGATTTATGTGTGAAGGAAACTGTGATAATGAAGTATGTAGCATATGAGAGTGAAAGGCAGAAAATGAGAGTGAAAGTGGATGAGAGTGATGTCGTTATAGGTGAGAAAAAAAAGAGTTGAATGGCATGACAAGGGGGCAAATGAACAGGAGCGATTGTGATCGAGAGTGAAAATATTCGGAGATAGCATACAGGCTAGAAGGATGTGAAGAAACTAATAATAAAAACAATAACGCTATTAAATGAAAACTAAATCAGCCGTGACCCAAAGGCCCATATTGTGTGATATTAATGCACAAAATACAGTGTAGATAAGCACGGCTATGGTAGACTGAGGAGCTCTAACTTATCTAATGTTAACTCTACTTCTTTATCTTCTAGACTTTGACTTCACCTTCACTTCTCTTGCCCTTTTCTCCACCTGCCTCCCCATTTTTACAACACTTCTCTTTAACTTCACTTCTTGTTTGTTTTATGGTCTGCTACAATTATCGTGATCGATATTTAACACACTTCTACTTGTCCAATCAATCTGAAATTTTGCCCACTGGCGTAAAGTTGGAGGCAATGCATGAATCAATTGACAGAATAAATAATTTTGAAAAGATAATATTTTCTCTTTATAAAAAATACAAATTATTTTTTTAATATTCTAAAATAAAATTAAAAATTCATTGTACATTTGTAACATCATAGACACTGGATTCTTTAGAAGTGTTGTCGTTAAAAAGTAATTTTTAAACGCATATTATGCCTCCATATTTCGCTGTCCAGTGTCCACAACTTAGGAATTAATAAATGTCGCGTGGCAGGT